TAATGAATAAGACAAGCAAGCTTCCTTATTCTGCTGTATAAACATTTGATGTTCTACATTCTAATTAATCATTTATAGATATTTGACATATCTTTCTATCTGTAAAAATATCCCAGCAACAGTTCTTTAGCAAAACACAATGAAGGATAGTAAACACCAAGTTCTGAAAAAATTTTGCCCTCTATCTTACTTAAAAACATAAAAATATATACTGGGGTGGAGGCAATGACTCAGTGAGTAGGGCGCCAGCCCAGTATTACACCGAGGGTGGAGGGTTCAAACCCGGCCCCAGGCAAACTGCAAGAAAAAACAGCTGGGCGTTGTGGCGGGTGCCTGTAGCCCCAGCTACTCGGGAGGCTGAGGCAAGAGAATTGCCTAAGCCCAGGAGTTGGAGGTTGCTGTGAGCTGTGACGCCACAGCACTCTACCAAGAGCAATATACTAAGACTCTATCTCTGAAAAAAAAATGTAAAAATATAATAGAGGATTGTGGGGGAGGTTAATTTTGTTATTAGTTTTTTCATTTGGGTACAATTTTGGTACACTTATATCAAGTACAAGATAATAATTCTCATATTTTTGACATCTGTAAATATAGAGATTTTTATATATATGTTATTAATACCCCTAAACAAAATCTAGGCACTAAAATACAAGCATTAAGGTATTTTTTTCTGTGCTGAGTCAAGAACCCCTTGAGACCAGTGGTAAGTATTTAGAATCATAGAAGTTTAAGGTTTAAAGCAATCTTAGCAGTTAGCTGACATATCTCACTCTCTCTACCTCTCATTCTCAAACTTCATAATAAGTCGTGTAAAATAGGATAATAAAGTCTGAAACAAGAAGTCAGTCCTACTAAATCCCAAATTCAATGTTGATTCCACAATAGTACACTACATCCCCGAGGGATAGTGACCAATTTTCCAGACTCTAGATGAAATTAACCAGTCATTTGGTCTGTGATAGATTTAAAGAGATAAAGTCATATGAAAAATATGTACTGTTTATACAGCAGGTGGAATAGGCCCATTTTTCAAATCACATTTTTCTTTATCTCTCAAATTATCTGTCATATATAGAAATACTGCATCTGTATTTGTTAAGAAAAAGACTTTAGATCTAGAATAAAAAAATACTCTATACATAGGTTACAGATGATATTTTGCTGTATTTTTTAAAAAGAAATCTAAATATTAACAAAAAGAATTTGAAAGACTAGGGGGTGGTGACAATCAGGGAAAGCCTCCTATAGAACTGACTTTGAAGAAAAGGTATGAAAAATGAACAAGGATTAGACAGATGTGGGGATAGGAGAGAAAGGGAAAATTCTAGGGAGAACAGCCATGTACAATCCCTGGACTATCTGAAGCCAATGTTATTCAAAATTTTGACAAGTTCATGATACTTTACTGGATGCAGGATACATACTTGTGTGTACGTACACAAGTTCTGTAAGTACATAGACCTAGCTGACTTATCACTATCCAAACCCTCCTATTATCCAAACTAAGATCCCTAACAGAATCAAACAAATTATTTTTAAGATAAAGCTGGTAGCCCTCCAAGGCCAGAGGAACTTAGAGCATTCATGCCTGCCACCTTCTCAGGACTGCCCTTCGCAGTCAAGCCCTTTTGTTTTTTCCTTGCTGATGCCCTACTCCCAACTCCTACAGTTACCGATGACTGATAGATGACACAAAAGGCCAGCTTCCAAGGTACTGGTTTTGACTAAAAGATGTAGGGGGAATTTCTTGCAGGAATAGAGAGATTAGACTAACGAAAAAAAAAAAAAAAACAAAGTTAGGAGAGTTTAGAACAGTGGTTTTCCTCATTCTGTCTGTACATTAGAACTGCCTATGGAATATTTTTGAATGTTGGAGACTTGGGTCCTATCCCAGACAAATTAAATCTGAGTATCTGGGAATGCAATCCAGGCATCAGTAGTTTTTAATAGCTTAATATCTCCCCACAGTCGCCTTTCCTGGATGTTTTGGATCCTCTCAACCTTTTCTCTCCATATTCAAATTTTAAGAGAAAACAATGAATGTAACTACAGCTGTAAACCTACAGAATGATGTTATTACCTCTACATTAACAAAAGGAAAATGGTTTAAATAAAACTGCATATAAGTATGTAGCCTGCATTTCACTAGTGGGTTCAGAGTTTCCTGAGGAAAATGGAATACCGTCAAGGTTTGACAAAAATTGCTGCCAAATGAAAACCAAACTTGTACAAAATTCTCAAAAAACACAATATGAAACAATGGGAAAATAAATTTTGCCATATAAACCCCTTTGGCATAACTATCTACTCAGTTACTCACTATGGGCACATACTGTTGTGGATTGTAAAAAGCAGTAACATATCAAGATGACAGCCTAAGCTTCAACTTATGAACCACACAAAAATGAAATTTTAAAAGGTTGGCTTCAATACACTTTATTCTGAAATTTAGACGGACAAGTCAATTTAGGAAACATCTTACTTGCTAACTTCATTTTCTTAGTTTCCACAGCTTCCATCCCTGCTTTTGTCAGAGTTTCCAACGATGCCCCTGTTGTTAGACCTGACCATCACCATCCACCCATTTGCTTAAGCAAAAAACCTAGGAATTATCCCTAATTCCTCCCTGTCTCTCACTACCCTTATCCAGGACAACATCAGATTTTGTCGATTTCATCTTATCAGCATATACTGATGCCTTATATTTCTTTCCACCTTTTCTAATACCTTCTTAGGCTAAGATATAAACATATTTGGCCTAGACTACTGCTTCCATCTCTTAAACTGTCTCTTTTCTTCCACTCGTGACCTGCCCCCACTACAATACATACTGCCACTGTAGGCAGGATAGTAAAGAAACAAATTACGTCACTGCCCTCTTTAAAAGCCTCCAAAGGCTTTTTATGATATCAGAAAAAATCCAAATGCTTTATTGTCATGCCTTTCAAGGCCTTGCAGGCACTTAGCTCCAGCCTACTTTTCCAACATCTTTCCTCATGGATCTCCTCCCTATTCTGGCCCACATTCCGATCAAATATTTCAAGTAAAGTAGAACCTCTGTAAGTTGACCACTCAAGGGACTATAACAAAATGGTCGATATACAGAGGTGGTCAACATAAGAAATTAGGTCTGCTGTACTGATACATACATGTGGTATATACTGGATCTATGCAAACTAGGTCAACTTAAGCAGGTGGATGTCAAAAACTAAGTCAATGTAAGAAGGTGGTCAACTAATGAAGGTTCTACTTTATTTGCTTCTTGACTGCTTCACATACTCTTTCCCTAGCTCTTCACACAGCTACCTCCTGGCATCCTCATATTCCAACTCAAATGACATGGACATGTCCTCACACAGCTCTTCACTGATCACAGCATTTACATGACTGCTTGTTTTCTTCAGTCCATAAAAGTATGTGTATGGCAGTGGTGGGGAGGTATGTTCATTTTCTTTCCTCTACCACTAGAATATAAGCTGTATTGTAAGGGTCTTGTTTGTAGTATACTAGGGCTTAGGGCAGTGGTTCTCAACCTTCCTAATGCCACGGCCCTTTAATACAGTTCCTTTGGGTTGCAACTCATAGGTTGAGAACCACTGGCTTAGGGACTAGAACAACATGTGACATATACTAAGCACTTAAGTATTTTGTTTAATCATAAATACTCAAATGGTGGCATGGTCTATAGTACCAAATGGGAATTAAATTACCTGGGTTTTAGCCAGACTTGCCTCTACCATCAATTATCTACGTGGTGTTAGGTATACCACAAGATTAGAGTGGGTAGAGACTAACTGGAAGATAAGAAAGTGAAGAGAACAAGTATACATATTTCCTTGTCTAACAAGAATATAGACATATGGAAGCCTTTATTAAGTATCCTCATCAGTATGGTTTACTATTAAGGTCACTTCCAATTCAAAAATACCAGAATTATGGGTATGGGCCTCACCCTGAACCTTACTTACCCACTCCTCATTTACATCCCTACTAACCCCATGAACCAAATCAGGGTATTGCACTTTACTACCTACACCTCTGCTAATGGCTGCTGCCTTTTCTCCAACTCCAACCCCTGGAAAATCTATCCTGTAAAGCCTAGATCAATTGCTGACTACTTCATAAACTCTAACCCTATTATCTAGCTCAAAACTGATATGATCATTATGAGCTCAAGAATTCCTTTATACTTCAACCTAGAGTATTCCCTGATTTTACCACTCCCTGCCTGGACATGTAAATAAATCGCTCTGAGCCTCAGTTTCCAAAACTGAAAAGTGGAGATAAAACAGCCTACCTTTTAACATATTATTATTGTATAACATAATATTTAACTTAGTAAATGTTCAACTAACATATTATTTGGGTGTAACCATATTTTCCATGCACTTGCGAGCCTCAAAAGTGTCTTTTTTCATTTCTGAATCCCCAAAGTTTTGAAGCCATCTGACCTCCCAATGCCTGGAGTTTTTGTACAAAAATGTATACATGTGTATAAAATGAAGTATTTGTATGAGACGAATTAACATTCCATCCCCAAACCAAGTTCTCTGCCTGTACCCTCACATAAATATCCTAAAGCAAAAATAACACAGGTGTGCTTCTGTAAGGACAAGAATTTGAGGGGAACTAACATATTGCTTCAAACGGAAGTGCATTAGAAGAATTAAAGTTAATTAATTCAAGACTTTGGAGATCCTTTCCAAAGAAATTGATTCCTGCCACAATAATGGGTCGTTTTTAACTGGGCTTCCGGGATGAAGGTGTCTGTAAATTACAGACCTGGGGGTCTGTTAATTTCCAAAAAGAAATGTTAAAACTGCACTGGCACACCTATGCAAATGTTTCTGGGGCAAGAGTGTCCACACCAGATACTGTTTAAAGGAGTGTGCTCCAAAGTGGCAAGAGGATGACGAAGAAGAGATTAGTGGCATTAAGGAGGAAAATATTCGTAAGTCACAACTGGACTAGAGTTTAGACAACAAATCCAAACTCACCTAACCATACCCCCCAACAACTGAGCAGATGATGGCCTAGGGTCGAGATAAGGAGCCCAGCAGGCGCAGGACTGGAAACGGTTGTGGAAACGGTGCAACCTCAAGAGCTCGGCCCTTTTCCCAGGTCGGCCGCCTGCCTGTGTGGCCCGCGGAGCGAGACCCGGACCGAGCCCCCTCAGCAAACCCGGCTCCCGGCCCAGTACCTGCGGGGTCGAGCGCCATGTCAGCCGGCGGAGAACAACGCAACCAGTAGCAGCTCCGGGACAGGGGGCGGGGAGGGGAGGAGCCTGGGTTCGGCCACGCTCGGGGCCTCTGGCAGCTTCCCCTAGCAGGGGAAGGAGGAGCGCAACGCCCTTAGAGCAGCCTGGCCAGCCCCCTTTCTTTCTTCCTTCCCTAGCAGCTACTTCCGCCTCCCATTGCGCTTGCGCCCTCCGGGCTCCGCCCCTAATCCTGCAACTGACGCAGTCAGACTTGGCCCAGGAAAGCCCAAGGAAGGGGGCGTGGCCGGGCGTGTCTTGGGTCCCAGCGGTCGCCTGCCTGGGAGAGGCGTGGGTCCGGAATTGCTGAACCCCAGCAGCGCTGCACTGACAGGAGCCGGACTCGTGGAACATTGGGACTGCAACTCCTTGGGGACCAGGACTTAGTCTGAGCCCCGCCTCTTACACAAACCAAAAGAATCACCTCGTTCCTTTATTTTTACTTCGTTAACATTCATTTATTTAAAAAAAAATCGATTTTATGCCTGCCAGGTTCCAGCTACAGTTCTGAATACTACGGAAAAGTAATAATAAAAATAAGGCCTCCGTTCTCTAGGGGTACTGTTGGCGGGGGAGTCAGATAAAAGCAATACGCTGTTAAATGTGATAAACGCTACACGCGGGAGGTGTGCATGGCTTCTTCTGCTGTAAAGACGGTGTTAAGTGTGTGCAATGTCGTTTCTCTTCTAAATCAGAGGCCTGCGGCTCTCCTGCGGGTGAAAAATTAAAATGTGAGCGCCAGGCATACCTGTTTTGTGAAATAAGCCTTAGTCAGTACAGTCAGGTTTGGGTGATGTTACGCATACCAACTCTGACAATTATCAAGCTGTACGATTTGAGAGAAAAATGAAGGAAGGTAATAGCCATCCCACTTAAGACCCCTGACTGCCCTCTTCTCCATGAAACTTTCTGGGTGGCACTTAGGGTCATTTCAACTCTCGAACCAGCCCTTCAGAAGTGCTTCTTTGTCAAATCCACTGTTAACTGGCTCTGAGTCTAAGGGTGAGGTGCGGCCTGGGGTAGATGGGACAGATGTTTAGAAAAACAAGGAGCAGCTGCTTCTTCCCTGAGAGGGATTTAAGGCTTTCAAAATGATCCCCTCCCCACCTACCTGCAGTCCCTCCTCCCCTGCTGCTGCTTCCGCCTGGTCAGTTGGCAGAAAAGCTGAGGCAGTTGAGCAGGGCTGGGAAAGTGGGTCTCTGCTCAGCAGGTCTTCCGTTTAAGGGCCTATTTGGGCATAACAGCCCTTATTACAGCTGTAGGTAGAGGTGCCAAGGTGCAGAATTAACGTTTCACTCAAGCAGCCAGGAAATCAAGTTCTTTTCCCTGGATGTTTTATGAATGTATGTAGAAACACACCACATTCACTCTGGTGCTCCTTTTATTTTTCTGGAAGTGAAGGATTTAATTTAGAAAACTAAAGCAAATCTTTTAAAGAGATAAGGTGCAGTACAAAGACACAGATCATACATCCATATTCAAGTACAATAATCTAAATCTTTCTACGTGCAAGAGTATCGTGGTAAAGGGGGGAGTTTGGAGAGCTTCAGTCAGAGAGCTTGAATACTATAGTACAACTTATTAGCTTTGTGACTTGAATAAGTTCCAACGTGTTACTGAACTTTAGTTTCCAATTTGCAAGGTTGTTCTGGGGAATAAATGTATTATAACACATTCAAAGGACCACTTATACAGTTTTGCCATAACTATCACTTGAAATATTACTATTTCATATTTTGATTTTAAATCAACTCACTCTAAAAAAAACAAAAATAGGCTCTACTTTGGCCTTATGCTAAGCAATAATATCTGTAAAATTGTGGGGTTTGTGTGGCCCATAAAATGTACTGCAAGCGCATTTTAGAAGAACCCTGGGAAGAACTAGCAAAAGTATATATCTCTCCACTCTCCTATTAGACTAGATACTTTGGGGAAAAACAGAGTCTTTACAATCTAACTAGAAAAAAGTTAAATCATAGAAATTTAACTGGTAATTCAAAACAGAAGAAATGTCCTGAGGCGTCACATTATTAATAAGATAATTTTTAGGGTAGTAACTGCAATAGAAGCATAAAGAGAGGGGAAAGCACATCATCCTGGAAGTCAGAAGTGTGTATTATCCAACCATGATCTCTGGGACTCAAGCAACATTTGGCACCTGATGGCTCCACGGTAGTCTTTTTCAAAGGATCGAATGCAAGAGTAGTTAGGAAGACTTCAAAGATAAATTAGAAATTATGCTTGGCCTTGAAAGAAGGATAGCATGGGTACACAGAGAAGAAGGCATATCATTCTGAGAGAAAAAAAAATGAGAAGAAAAGCATCTGGGTCTTGAACTGTTCTTGAAGGACAGGTGGACACGGAAGAGGTGGAGGCTAAGGAGTGGAACCATATGAGCAAAAGCACGAGTGGGAATCGTAGGGCTATGTACAGGCGTGGGGTGGAGGAGGGGTGACAATGCCTTTGAGGACTTGGGAAGCTGAGGCAGTTACAAGCGAGGTTGTGTTGAAAGAGGCCAGATTCCCAGGAGGCTGAGGAATATCTGGCTTTGTTACTATAATCAGTCAGAAGTTATTGAAGGGTAACATAGAAAAATAGCATGTAGCCTACATTTTCTAAAAGTGTTTTGTAAAACTTTGGTGCAGAATGAATTTAGGTAGCAAGCAAAGAGATAAGAGATAAGTAGACAAGTAAGGAGGCTGTTCCAGTAGTTCAGGCAGGATCTGGAAAGAGCCTGAATTAAGATATATAGAAATGTAAAAGGAAAGAAGAGATGTGAGAGTGATTGCAAAGGAAGAATCGATACTTCATCATTGCACTTAGGAGACTAGGACGAGGAATCAGGAAGATCTCTAAATGATCCCTTTCCTTGAGACGTGCATACAGACAAATGAGAAAATCATGGCAATGTGCCTATTCATGCCTAAAATGGTCCTCATTATTGGAGGATGAGAGAAGGGGAGTACTGACTCAGAAAGACCAAATAGGAGGAAGGTACAGTAACCCAGGGATCAATAACAGCAGTTGAAACAAGGTTCAAGAACATGTGAAGGTATTTAGTAGATAAGACATTTAAAATACACACATATACACAGATATGCGTCTATGTATTATTTCTTAAGCTAGTATCCAAGAAATGTGCAAGGAGAAATGAATAATCCTAATTGTTTAACAAGTCTATTTTGACTAGCTCTAGTGTTCCTTTTTGCTGTATGTTGATATAGAGTTGATTATTTTTGAAATTGAGATGGTCAGTTAGCTTGTACCCACCATCAGAATTAAAGACTTTCCACCTGTACCTCTGTTCTACTCTATCTTTGAGCTAATAAGAATTAAATTTAAAATAATATTAGTGGCCCCATCCTTATGAGTGGATGGAGTTTAGAACTAGTTCTTGGCTAAACAATCACTAACCAAGGGTCCTTGGTGGCCTGCCTGCTTTCTGAGCTGTTTGACTTAGCACCAAGTCACCATGGCCTGTCCTCTCTCTGATTTAAATGGACTTAGGTTCAGGTTGACATTTGTATTAGTGACACTTGTATTATTTTCTAGGGTTGCCACAAAAAAATTATTGCAGCCTAGGAAGATTAAACAACAGAAATTATTTTCTCACAGTTGAAGGCGAGAATTCTGAGATCAGGTGTCAGCAGGATTGCTTCCTTCCAAAGCCTCTCTTCTTGGCTTGCAGACGGCCTCTTCTGCCGTTAGCTTCATGTGGTCATTCCTCTTTGTGCCTGTGTGTCCTGCTGTCTTCTTTTAAGGTCACCAGCCATACCAGATTAAGTCTACAACTTAATGACATCACTTTGACTAAACTATCTCTTTAAAGACCCTATTTCCAAATACAGTCGTGTTCTGATGTACTGAAGGTTAAGACTTCAACGTATGAATTTGGGGAGACACCGTTCAACCCATAACAACACTCAACATTTTTACAAGGATGAAAAACCATTCCCTGAATCCCAAATCACTTAGCTGGAGCCCTAACAACCTGCCTACCTTTAGCAACATACTTTGTCCCTGTGTCCCTGGTGGTTGAATAGAGCCTGCATCCATCTGAATCAGTCCACCTATCCACTTCAGTCAGCTACAGTCTGTCCCTCATTCCCCACATCCAATTGATCTGAACATGCACTCAGTTTTCTTTCCTTAACATATTTTTATTTCATCTACCAACCACATTTTCACAACTCTTAGTTCAAGATCACTTTTGCAGAGAATATTATAATAGCCTTCTGACTGGCTCTCTGCTCCTAGGCATTTCCTCTTCCCACCCATTCTCCCTAATCCATTTCACCCATTAACAGCAAATATGATCATAAAATTTCTTATGTAAAATATCTCCGTACCCATCAACCCATGAATGGATTCATAAACTGCAGTATATCATATACCATGGAGTACTATTCATCCATAAAAAAGATGGAGACTTTATATCTTTTATGTTTACCTGAATGGAGTTGAAGTACATTATTCTTAGTAAAATATCCCAAGAATGGAAAAAGAAATATCCAATGTACTCAATAATAATATGAAACCAATATATAAACAATTACATGACCACATGAATGATAAAACACAAATATAGTCTAGCAAGGGGGAGGGGAGAAGGTCCATTGGTGAAAAGAAGGAGGGCAATTGCCGGGATCTCACCTAATGTGCACAATGTGAGGGGTGTTTAACTTACCCTCTGGGTAAAGAGCTCAACTACAACTTGAACTTGACCTTGGAAGTGAGAACAATGTAACCTAAAATTGTGTACCCTCATATTAATTTGAAATAAAAATAAATTACCTCAGTAAAAGAATAGGAAACTATATTTGCAAAGCCCATATCTGATAAAAAGTTAATATCCAAAATATAAAGGAATGCAAATCAATAGCAAAACAAATAACTGAATTTTTAAAGTGAGCCAAGAACCTGACATTTCTCAA